AGAAAAATTTATTATATTAAAATATTTTTATATATATTGTTTAAGAACTTAACTTCATATAAAGTTATAGCAAATATAATTAGTAAAATTCGCTATATTGTTAATATACAATCTTTTTAGATTATAATTGTTAGACGCAGTGGCAAAGGGTTGACTCTTTTATAGTTTATGTAATAATTCTAATTAATTTACAAGATTCTTAGCTAATTTGCTATCAGTTTATTGAGTTAGTTCAATTTATTAAACATGAATGGCTTTAATCACAAGTTAAGAGTGATCACAGTGAGTTCAAGTAGAGTTTATAGATAAGAAATAAGAAATACTTTATTAAAGTAAAAGAAAATAATACAATAATAATATATGAAAGAAATAAGAAATGAAAATAAGAAATAGAGGTACACGAAGTGAAGAGTAGCATTACGCTATCTTTTACAAGAGAGAGGTTCTATATAGCCGTCAGTTCTATCCTTTTCTAATTGACAAAGAGGTTGTATTTATAACATATTTTGACATATTTAATATATTAACTATGTTAACTATATTAACTATATTAGCTATATCTACTATATTAACTATATTAGACATATCTGATATACTAGACATATGAGCTATATTAAACATGTTAGACATGTTAAATATGTTTGACATTATCGACATTTATACTTCGTAATACAATTGTAGATCTATGATCGTCAAGATTGACACCTGGTCACAATATCAAAAATTTTTTCATATGTTAAAATCTGTTTTAGACTAAAAATTCGCTATATCAAAATTTATTATATTAAGTGTTGACTGTATTAAATTTAAAGTTTTGAACAGTTCAGATTAATCTGAAAATTTTCAATTTAGATCAACTTCAGTTTGGTTTCAGATTGCAAAAAATTCAATCCAAAAATTTTTGGTTTAGTTCAGATTTTTTTCAGATTATTAATCTAATTCAAACTGAAAAAAATCCAAACTGAATTGAAAATTTCAGATTAATCCAAAATTTTAGATCATTTAGAATGATTAAATTATCATTCTTAACAAACGATAAAATAATTATTCATTTAGAATGATTAAAGTTATCATTCTAAATGAACAATAAGAAAATTATTCAATTGAAATGATTAAATTATCATTCTAAAAAAATAATAAAAGAATTATTTATTTAGAACGATTAAATTATCATTTTAAATGAATGATAAAAGAATCATTCATTTGGAATAATTGAAGTTATCATTTTAAATAAACGATAAGAAAATCGTTTGATTAGAATGATTAAATTATCATTTTAAACGAATGATAAAAGAATCATTCATTTAAAACAATTGAAGTTAACAATTGAAGTTATTGTTCTAAGTTATTGTTCTAAGTTATTGTTCTAAGTTATCGTTTTAAGTTATTGTTCTAAGTTATCATTTTAAGTTATTGTTTTAAGTTATCATTTTAAGTTATTGTTCTAAGTTATCGTTCTAAATGAATTATAAGAAAATCATTCAATTGAAATGATTAAATTATTATTTTAAACGAACAATAAATAATCATTCAATTAGAACAATTAAATTATTATTTCAAAAGAATGATAAAAGAATCATTCGATTGGAATGATTAAATTATTATTCTAAATGAACGATAAAAGAATTGTTCATTGAAATGATTGAAGTTATTATTTTAAACGAATGATAAGAATTATTCAATTGGAATAATAAAATTATTATTCTAAACGAATGATTAAAGAATCGTTTATTTGGAATAATAAATTATCATTCTAAACAAATGATAAGAAAATCATTCAATTGAAACAATTAAATTATTATTCCAAATGGATAATAAAAAAATCATTCATTTGGAATGATTAAAGTTATCATTACAAATGGACGATAAAAGAATCATTCATTTGGAATGATTAAAGTTATTGTACCAAACGAACAATAAAAGAATAGTTTTAAACAATTTAAAATTTCAGATTAATCTAAAATTTTCAGTTCAGTTCAGATTTTTACCAGTTTACAGTTCAGTTCAGTTTCAGATTGGCCTATAATCTAGACTGAACTGAACCATTTAGAGCATTAATTAAATTTAAGATTTAAGAATTATATGTAAAGATAGCATTACAACTAGTTGCAATCAGTGATAAATAAGTATTCTAGGATTGCAAATAGTTACAACAAGTGACAAATAAGCATTACATAATTGCAACTAGTTGTAGCATCATCTTTAGTTATATGTAAATAATCTGATTTTTTATTTCAATATTTGTATATTAAATGAATCAATAAAAATTAAATATGTTATTATATTAAATAATATTTAAAGACTGCTTTAAAAGAATGAATTTTACTGATAAATAAAAGATTGTATCAGTAAAAATTATTAACTTTCTTTAACTTTTGTTTAAAAATACATAATTAATAATTATCTATTAGATTTACACATTTTAATATATACATTACTAGTAGTTTTAGCAAATTTTATTATAATTATTATAAGTTTTTCCTCTTTTATTTATAAATTATCAATCACATAAAAGAAAATTTGCATACTGTATTTTATAGTTGTTAGAGTACATAATATATTTCATAAATAATATAATGTATCAGTTGATGATATAAATTAAATTACTAACTCTAATTAAGTAAAAAGAATAAAACTGTCATTTTCAAAATATATTTTAATATAAATAAAAATATAATTGCTTATGAATTCCTATAGTCTTCTATTTGCTTAAAAATTTATTAATAAATAAATAATATGTTTGCTAGAAATAATAAAGCTTAATAAAATATTTATTAAATTAATTTTAAAACAATAATAAAAGATAAAAAAAGTAAAATTAGTATTATTGAGTTTAGAGATATTAATTTTAAAAATGAAAGTATCATTTAAATAATATATATTACAGGTTAAAGATTTAACTAAAATCTTGATATTTTATGTGAAGAAATTTCATAGCTTTGAGTTATAATAAATAGATATTAACAGATAAGTAAAAATGATAATGTAAAATAAACTCTATTAATTATTAAAAACCAAAAAAAATTAGATATAAAATAGCAATTAAATGATTTAAAATTATTAAATTAAGAAAGTTTTTTTTTTAAAAACAGATCCTAATATTATTATAATATTTATTACTATATCAAAATCTTTTGAGATTATCTTTGCTGATATAAACTATTTCATAATTCTTATTTCTCTTAAGAATAATCCTGAAACTAAAAGTTTATATCTTTAATGTTAATTTTCTTATAAAATCTTATAAAATCACAGATAGTCTTATTAACATAATTACTTTTTAAAAAAAGTATTAAAAAGTGATAATAAACAAAAATATGATATTATAGATAAGAAAGTCTAATAGAAGAAATAAGCAAAGGAAAGTCATGAACAAGAGATTGTATCAAAAAAGTTTATGGTAAAATAATAGTATAAGAATAGAAACATATTCATATACATATTCAGCTTTCTTCTAATATACTAAAACTTACTAATATACTATATTACATTAGAAAAAATTAATAGTTATATAAAAGACATTTTAAATAAAATATAAAAAATCTGAAAACAATATCATATTTATAGACATATTAATATAACTATTAAGTACAATATACTTAAAATATGTCTGTTCTATTTTTTAAAGTTATTTTCTATTGAACTTGTAGGATTGTTAATGAATAAGTAAACTGTAATATAATAGAATGTGTTTATCCCAGTATCATAGTAAAGAGAATCAAATATACAATATAAGGAAGGGATACAAATGCAACTATAAACATTATTTTATCTGAAACCTTTATTATTCTAACTGCTGACTATCTGCCTCTTTCTCTTTTTATCATAATGCTAATCATACAAGATATAATTTTGCAAATGAACTTCTTTTAGTTGTGATATTAAAACTGGTTTCTTATGATTTTATTCAAGATGAATTAATATAAAGTCTATTTAATCGGTTAAATTTTGATGAAAAAGTCAAAAAAAATCAATTTGAAAAGGCTCATAGTGGTAGTCATAATCTAATCTAAGTAGTATATCACAATATAACATAATTATGATATATCATTTTACTATCTATAAATAATAAAATAATTAATTTATTTAATTATAAAATATTATTAAATTATCTAATTAAATTAAATAATGAATTAAATAATTTATATTATAAATATAATTTATTCAAATAATTATTATTTAGTCAATAAATAAAAATTATTAAAATTTATAAATCTGATAAATATTATATTTGAAAATAAAATTTTAAGAGCTTTAAATTAAATTACTAAATATTATTTAAATTTTCGTGTAACAAATACTAAATAAAAGATTTTAATAATACTTGAAATAATATTATCTAACCTATTATTATTACTCAAAAAAATGTTACCAGTGTGAAATAATATTTAAATGATTAAATTAGCATATATAATAATTAACTTATTTAATTTATGTCCTACAGATCGAAATTAGGGTCTACCAGAAAATCCAGGGATCAAAAAATAAAAATTAAATATTTCGTTATACATCACCGAAAACTATAATCTCACATTGTGATATATTTTAAAATTATCACCAATTATTCTTTGTTAACTAAAACAGAGTTATTTGTTTTTGGAATTTCTATATTCAATGGTCTATTCATGGAATGAAGGTGATAGTCATACGTGTTCTCATATTGAAGTTTTAAACTTCATAATATTGAAATTCGAAATTCTTAACAATAATAAATAAATTTATGTTATCACGTAAGTAAAATTACGAGGAAGATATTCGGTTGAAAATTAAAATGTTTTTGATTGTTCCATAAATTGAATAATGGTACACAAATGTTACAAATGGTAAATATTTGCTCATGTGAATAACGTGGAAAATAGACCGACAAACAATATGATATCGTAGCACGTATGACTAATAAATTATGTCAATACATTGTCGTCATCTATTATTCATTTCAAGTCTTTTTAATATAAATTAAACATGTTAATTAACTTTGTGTAAATAAAATAAATTATTATTTATTTTCCTTTAAAGATAGCAGTTCTTTTCTCATTAAATGCCTTCAATGCTACAAAATAAAAAATCCAAAAAAAAAAATATATATATATATAGAGATTATATGAATAATTTGTTATGTATATTATATATATTACCTTCGACTCGGTCTTCTGTAGGGATAACCTTAGCGTAACAATCTTGTTCAAATTCCAATGCAGAATCCCTAAAATAGGTTAAATATATTAAGTTACTATACGAATTCTTGAGAAAAATATTTATTTTTGATTTGTAATTCGAATTTTAACGTACAGATCAAGTTGTCCGCCACGATCAATAGCCAATTTAGCCATACGAACGGCAATTGGTCCTTTCATCGAAAAAATAAGTATCAATATTCAACAATGAAGTAAGGATTTAATGATAAAGAATCTTAATTACCACATGGCAAAATTTCTCTTGCCATATTCATTGCAAATACTATCGATGAACCTTCCGTTGTTGCATAATTAACAATCCCTAAATAAATAAAAAAAATTGGTTACCTGTTATTAGACAAAAGAACTTGACTTCTTGAGGGATTATAGCAAATTATGAACGTACCATCTTCAAGTGCACCTTTTGCGTTTAATGTCCGCCCTGTAAATATCATTTCTTTAGCCTTTGCAAAACCAATAGCGCGTGACAACCGCTGAGTACCACCAGCACTAATCAATATTAAACGAACAACGTAAATCATTAAATTAAGGTATATATTAAGACTGATTAATAATTACCCTGGTATTATAGCATGTCTAGTTTCGGGAAGTCCAAGTCTAGCATGTTCACCTAAATTTAAACGATTTGAATAGGAGACAACGTATGAGAAAAAGTCAAGGCCTTCACTTACCGGCAACGCGCATATCACAACACAGAGCCAACTCAAGTCCCCCACCTAAACAAATGCCATCAATTACAGCAATTGTTGGTACGAGAAGTGTCTATTTGAAAAAAAAAAATAGGTTTATATAATCACACGTAAGTATAAAATTTATGATAGGAGAAAGTTGAATTTTTACTGACTTCGAGATTTCGGAATGCTCCTCGCAAATTTTGAAGGAATTCTTTAATTTCTGGTTCTGACATATTAACTCGTTCCTATTGTATATCACATGAAGTAATTAATATTTGATAACAATATTAATCGTAGAACAAAATTAATTAACCTTTAGATCCGCTCCTGAACAAAATGCACGATCTACCAAACTCCTCAATAAAACAACTCGAACATCGCTATAAATATCAACTCAATTTGTGAGATAAACTCAAGATTCAAGTTAATGTGGATGACGAGTTAAACAAGAATTTTGAGTAACCTTTTATTTCTTAAGTTGTCCACAACGTCAATAAATTCTCTTACAAGTTTTCTTGAGAAAGCATTCTTTGTAGTTGGACGATTAAGATTTATTATAGAAATTCCTAATTATATATCAATTAAGTTTAATAATTTATTTGGTCATTTTTAATTAAAGTCTCTTACTACGAAATTTGCGATACCTTTATCTTCACCTTCCAAATCTTCGACAAAGCATTCTGGTTTTAGTGAAGTACTTAAGGGTCGTCGTAAAGTTTGTTGAAAAATACATTGTTTTTGAATAATACGCTGTACATTAGCATTAAAAATAAACGGTCGTCGAAGAGTAAAAGATAAATTCGCGCGCATTTGTCGTTAAAAAAACGTATAAATAGACAGGCGATGTAATTTATATGAGATCCAATTAAAGTTTGTTTGTCATTCAATTTCATCTACAAGATCATCCGTTGATCTGAAAATTTGAGTTTCTTCGGATTAGAATTTGAGAGATTTTTGATTGGTACGGAGAACTTTAATATCGGCAATAATGTATTACGATATCAACAGTTATCAACTGTTGTTGGACACCTTGTTGCATGTTATTTACATTGGTACATTCCTAATTAAATTATTACGATCTATTCCTAAATGAGCTATAAAAAGTCATAGCGATAAAAAAAAAAAAAAAAAGTTATAAATGGCAAACAAAATTTTCCATCACACCAATTTTTCTTATTTTTGTTTTTTTAAATTATTTTATTTTTTTACAAAACATTATTTAAAGAATGAGTTCTATTGTCGACTCCAGCGAAGTTCCATTATTTGGAGAACAACATATTCCGGTATTTTATTTCTTTATTTATTTATTTTTTCCTTTTGAAAAATATATATATAAACAAATTATTCATTTGATACAGGTATATTTGAACGTATATGATATGGTAAGTTGATGAGGTATTAATAGAACTTGAAAGAATGAAAGGCTTATACTCGAGTATTTTTATAGTTACCGAGGGGAAAAATCACAGATATCGGTTATAGAATTGGAGTTGGAGTATTTCATTCCGGTGTAGAAATTCTAGGAAGGGAATACAATTTTGGAGGTCATGATTATGATTTTACTGGAGTTTTTGTAATGAGGCCAAAAATTGGTCCACCGAATGTAACATTTAAGTAAGTTTTTCTCAAAACCTTTTGAATAATTCTTTATGCGAAATGCTCAATGTTCTTTTTGTAGAGAATCCATTGCAATGGGATATACAACATTGGACAAGGAAGAGATAAAAAATGTCATTGATGAGCTATCAATCGAATGGAGCGGAAATAGTTATAATTTACTCACGAGGTTTTATTTTGTTTTATTTTTTTTTGAAATGCAAGTTGAAAAATTGGCCAATTTGATTTAAAAAAATTTTATTATTATTATTCTTATGGTCATTTTTTAGAAATTGCAACCATTACTCGAGTGAATTATGTAGCCGGTTGGTTGGTAAGCCCGCACCAAGTAAGTAAACAAAGGATTAGAAGGGGGTTTTTTTTTAGATTAAATCTCTGAATTAAAATATATATACTTATTAGATTGGATAAACAGAGCCGCCAAATTAGGAACCTTCTTTCCATGTAGGTTTTACTTTCAAATTCCATACATTACATCTTTTCTATGTTGTACCTTAAGATTTTTAGTTACCTCAAATTTCCACGAATACAATTATGAATATCAAAATTAAAATCAGGTATTCATTCTAATAATTGGATAATGAGTTCCATGGAAAAATTATTTGCTAGTGAAGTACTTGTTCCTACCACAACTTCCATGACAAACGTTGAGGTACAAAAAGTGTAAAATATTAGAGGTATAACATAAAGATGTAATAACCATTTGTTTTAACCGAATAATATCTTTGTAACTTGCATTTCAACTCGTTTAATCAAAAGGTGTTGTACCAAATGGATGGATCGAACCGCCGGAGCTTGACGCTGGAACAAATACAACTACGCAAACCTCAACCATAACATCTACGATTACAACAAGTACAATTAATGGTCGGAGTTATGAACCACGTGTTATCTCCGATACTCAAGCATTGAAAGGCTAGTCCAGCTGCAATCAAATTTACTTTAAAAAAAACCCCCTCCATACTTCCATTTTAATTTTTAATTTTGTACATAATAATTATTCATCATCCACATCATCATCATAGACTAACTTTACCCTTTTTGTCATTTCTTTATTATTGGAAATCATTTTACATCCTTACATTAATTATTATTACAATAAAAATTATATTTTTTAGAAATATTTTTATTATTATTAAAGAAAGATTAAACAAATTATTATAATGTGTCAAATCATTAATATATATAATTTACACGATACCGGACATTGCCATTTATAATTAATGCTTGCAAATCCTAAAAATTAAAATACAAGGGAAAAGAATAAAATATGTGAAAAAAATTAATTCATTCACATCTATTCCTTTCTAATTTTTTTATATTCGAGCTAATTCATTCGTCACTTTTCCTTTTCAGGCTCAGTTTCCTTCAAAAGTTGTCGATCACCCGTTTCAACATTATTTTCATCACCGTGTTTGAGATGTTTACGCATGCGAGTCATGCGGTTAACACCTTGTACAAGATTAATAGCCTTTCTAAACGTTTCTTTTGCAGAAAAATTTCTCCTTACGTTTTCTAAAATATCAACGTCGGCAGCAGACTTGAACCATTCATCATTTAACGCTTCATGTGCTGTCACGCGTTTTGATGGATCAAACGTCAACATCCTATCAATAAAATCCGTGGCTAAATAAATCACAAAGGCAAAGTTATTAAATGATTCTTGGTATATAAGAGAATTTTCTTTAAAGGTTACCTACCTTTCATTGATATTTCTGACCAATAATCTTCGTCATAATCATACACACCGGACATAATATTTTCAAATAATGTGGCTTGATCATCACCCCAAAATGGTGTATATCCGCATAATAACGTGTACGTTATAACACCTATACTCCAGATATCAACGGGTTTACCATGCCCCGTTTGTAATAATACTTCAGGAGCCACGTAACTATATTTGGGAAAGAAAGAAAGAAATACATGTTAATGCGATCGCTCTTTCAACTGATTAACTTCTTTAAATAGTATGATTTACCCTGGTGTTCCACATGCGGTCATTAATACATCATTATCGGTTTTCAAAATTTTTGATAAACCGAAATCTGTAATCATCAACTTTGAGTCATCCGATTTATCCTTAAACAAAAGGTTTTCGGGTTTTAAATCTCTATGCACTATCTACATAACATTAAATGATCAAATTAAAAAAAAATAATCTCACAAATAAAATCACTCGTTACTTTTAACTTACTTCATGATCATGTAAGTAGGCAACGCCTTCTAATATTTGTTTTACCAAATTCGCGGCGTCTTGTTCCGTATAAGAACCTTTTAGTAATAATTGATTAAACAATTCTCCGCCGCTGGCTAAATCCGTTATAATATATACACCTTCCTTTGATTCATAAAGATCGTGTAATTGCACAATATTTGGATGATTGACTTGTTTTAATACATCCAATTCTGTGGTTAACATATTCTCTTTTCCTATATAAAAATCAAAAGTCAATGCACATTGGAAAAAAAAAAGTATAATAGGTGAGAATTTTATACATACCTTTTATTGCCTTCTTGGCAAGAATCTTTAAAGCATAGGATTGCCCGGTTCTTTTATCAACACATTCTTTTACAACAGCAAAAGTACCTACTCCTAAAACTTTTTTTAATATTCTATAAGATTTTTCTAATTCTAATGGATAAGTAATTTCTCCTCCATTATCTTTTTTGAATAATGCTAAAATTCTATTCATGGCAAATCTAATTATAAAAAAAAAAAATTTATGGGAAAAATATAAGGGATGAAAATTGTGAATATTTAATATTAATGCAAAATCGTGGAGAAAAAGTTATAAATTTTTTTCCGATATCGAAAATCTGGCGTAAAAGCGCACATATTTTTTTTCATTACACAAAAAAAATATATGATGTGCAAGTGCGTACCCAATTATCGTTTGTAACCCAAGGAAAAAAAAAAAAAAATAAATGGGTTCGAACCTTGTTTGTTCTCTAAACTGCTGTTTAAATTGGTCATTAAAATGATCTTTATATGTTTGTTGTGCGATTTTAATCAATTCCCTCATCTTTCAAAAAATTGAAATTACGTTGCGGTAATAATATTTAATTTTTTTTTTCTTTTTTTTTTTTTTTTTATGGTCCGGAATGTTTCTTGAATAGAATGAAAAGGCAGTGAAAAAAAAGCTTCCGAGAGAAAAAAATAAATCAAAGGTTTATATTTAAATATTTAAAAAGTAAGGTTTAAATTAATATTTAAAAAGTTTGTAATTGTGACCATTCACTGTAGTAAAAGAGCATTAGATTCTCTTTTTATAATAATAAAAAATAATAAAATTTATGTATCATTAAATCATAATTGCGTAAACAATTAAAATGCCAATTGATTTTATTCTCAATCGGGTGAAGTTGGCGTTTAATGAATGGTCTTATAATTCATAAGGTGAAAAATGAACCTCCACTCCAGCGGGTACTGTTTGTACATATTCATCAACTGATGAGATTATACAATCGGCGGAAAATCAATGCTAATGTAAGGGGGCCTATTCGCAATTTTTTATGTATCAGTTGCTCTGGCAATGTTTCTTTTATATCTGTAACTTATAAGAATCTATTTTTGTATCAGTTAGTTGTTGCGTCAGCAACATTTTATTTCATTAATAAAAAGCATCGATATATTGTATTCCTCGTAAAAAGTCACGTGTAATAATACAATGCCTGCGTGACATAAAAAAATTATATTAACACTCGCATTTCCACCTCTATTTTTTCTCTGAACGTAACACCACCATTTTTTATCCGAGCAAATATCCCTATAATAGCGATATGTCAACTATCACTCTACATGCAACGGTACAGCAAAAGTCGGGCGCAGTATATGATCATTTGCGCGATCATATATCACATTTTTGTTGCTTTTTTTCTGAAATTGTACAACTGCTGCTTTTGTTCCACGATATATTTTTTTCAAACATGTCTACCAGTAATACTACTACGGTCGAGGATGTTGAAAGATTTGATACTGAAGAACTTATCCATTTTTTACAAACAAAGAACTTTGGCCTTAAGAAGAAAGAATATAAAATTTTTCGTAGAGAAAGGGTTAATGGTCGTCAATTTCTTCATCTGACCAGAGAAAAACTTCTTGCCGATCCTTATAAATTTCCTGGAGGACCGACTGAAGATCTTGCGAATCTTTTCATTGAGTTAAATAAGCAAAGTAGGTTCAATCATAAAAATAGTTTAATCTTTTTATTCAACAGACATCTTTTAAAGCATTTATTTTTGTAGTAACTAAGGCTATTTTTTAGGGCTTCTTAGTTAAGAACAAGCATTATCATGTATTCCGTTACCTATTGGGTATCATCATAATGTTATTACTTCACAGAATACTATATATTCAGGTGATCGATTTCCAACGGAGATTCGTCTTTGGAATGATCTTTTTGAAGAAGTTAATAAGTTTCATTTTGACAATGAACCGAAATTTGAAAGGTCACAATTTAGCAACTTCTCGTCTTGTATTAATGAAGAGGATATTCGCAATGCTTTTTATAGCAATATTTGTCAAGTTTTAAACGTTCTTTTGCCAGACTATGAATTTTCGAGACAACCAGTTCTTATCGCTGGTATACCGGACTTTTCTGCTATATTTGCTGCATTTGAATTTATCGCACCAATCGAGATTAAGAGAGAGCACGTTTTACAATTGTTACTATTAGATGGTGAACAAACATTTCTGTATTTTGATAACAAATGAACGTTATGAAATGAACGAACATGCAAAAAATATTACTCAACATATTTTACCTATATGTCAAAAACTCAACTTCAGTATGGCGTGTTATCAACCTATCAACATCATTGGTTTCTACGCCGACCAGCTGATGAACCATCGGTGCTTTATATTTCAAATACCCTTCTAATACAGTCTCAATCACCACCGGTTCTTAAAACATATGCATATATAGTTCAGGTTTTATGTGCAGATTCCTATTTTAGGAATCTTGTTATAACTACTGATAAAAGAAAAAAACAGTCAGTTTTTGATTCTGAATCAGCTACTAAATCAACTAAGAAGGAAAGAACGACAGTCATAGCTTCTAAGAAGAAATCATCTTTTAGTATAAACGAAAAAGGGCAGACACCTATTCAAAATCTTAGCTTTGCAGATTTCAAATATAAGAGTATATTAGGTCAAGGACAAACTGAAAAGACACTCCTATGTAAATTTCACGGAAATACAATTGCTTTAAAGTGTACTGATCTATCAAAAACCCCACATATCTTGAAAGAAATGCAACAAAAAGTCAATATTTATATAATTCTCTCTGATATTCAGGGAATTCATATTTCAAATTTGTTGTGTTATGGCTTTTATGATGGAATGTATTATGCTATCAGAATGACTCTTGTTGGTTCTGCTTTAAATAATTATAAACATATAACAGGACAGCAAAGAGTTATAGGTCTTCTTGCATTAAATGTAATTCACAATAGAGGTGTACTTCATAATGATATTCGTAAGGAAAATATTTTGCTTGATAATACTAATAATGTTGTTTACTTAATTGACTTTGGGATGGCAAAATATCATTGTGACACTAAGAAAATTTGCATAATTATTATGAAGCGATAATGATTTTATAATTAGTTTAGAATTTTATTAAATGTCAAATAATTTGTATAATTATTTTTTACAAAATAAAAACATCTGCTCTTGCAATTTATTTTATATCAATAAAAAGAAAAAAAGTGTTAACACTTATTAAATTGCGAATAAATACATCTAATAAATTTATTTTTAATTTCACATAGTAGTGATTGAATTTGAGTTTACATATTATATTTCTAATCTAGAACTTAATAAACATGCGATATTTATTGATGACATTTTACAAATATATAGACACCTTGAAGTTTTTATTACTTAAATCAAAATAAATAGAAATACTAAGAAATGCTGACAAAACATGCAATTTTAAAAAGTATGAATATTTTTTTTATTATGACTGTACATTTATAGTAAATGAAATTTTCGTTTAGGATTTTTGAAAAATTTATTGGCATTATGGAAGAAGCAAGAAGTTTTGGATAAGACTTTTACTAAATTAAGGTTTATTAACTTTTGATTTATTTAATTTATTTTCTATAATATATTTTGTATAATTATAACTAATGTCTATGATCAATCTTTTTATTTATATTTCAGAATATTTATGATTGAAATAAAATGAAGCGATAGTGTTAGTATAGATAGTTTAGATAATGAAAAATCTCTGCAAGTATTAATATAGAACTATCATAAAGTATTTCTATATATTACAACTACAAGTTAAATTATATATTTTATTTCCTATATTAATAAACATTCGAAATAAAAGTCATACATGATATTAAGAATTTTGGAATATGTAACAGAAAGATAATATATTTATATATCAGTTTTGTATATATAATAGTATCACTTTATTGTATAATGTACTTACTACTAACTGTACAGATCAAAACTCTTTAATTATATAACAAAAACTGTTCCCTTAAGGAATGATCAGAGATACAATCATGACATTTTTGTCAAAATTTACTTTACCTTCTTACTAAAAGAATATGTAATCAAAGTATAACAGTCTAACTTCTATTAGTAAAGATTACAATTATTATACTTTGGCATATAATTTGATAAGCGAAATATTTATCTCAATATTTTCAATAATAATAGATAGAGGTCTAAAGGTTTAGAAGCTTTAGATTTAAATAATGCACAAAAATATATACTAAAGATATCTCTTGAGTTTTAAAAAATCCTCTAGCAGAAAGGTTAAAAATACAGATGAGAAAAAGGTCAATTATATTAAAAAAATATAGAATTATTAATTGATATTTCTGATATTGGTGAAAACTTAAAAGAAACAAGTAACATAACTGATATCAAGGTATTATTTGCAACTTTCCAATAAGATTTATAATGTTGAATCTAATAATGAAGATACATTTTGAGGTTTTATTTACAGCTATTTTGAATTTAAAAAGCTGTATTAAATAATATAAGATTTAAAATCTAAATATGATTTACATAACTTATTATAAGTTATTTATCATTTAAATAAGTTTTATAACTTATGACTTTATCATAAATTTCTTAATTTAGATTGGCATTATATTTTGACTAAAATTATTAATTAAAACATTTTCATAAAAGGGAATTTATTTATATAAATTCTTAAAATAATAAACTGTAAATTTTAAAAATATTATATAAAATTTCTTTACCTTTATATAAATTAAATATCTATTAAATAAGGCAATTTTCTTACTTATAATTTCAGCTAAAATTAGTTAATATATATGACTTTCAACTTATAACATTTTAATCATATGATATGTAACTATAAAGTTTTTATATAACTATGTTATACATTAATACTAAATAAGGATAGATCTTAAGCATTATTCAAAAGTAAAGTTAAAGAAGTGATTTCTAAGGCAAAATATTTTAATAAAGCTTTATGAAAAAATGGAAAGTTCTGAAGAGATATATAAGCTTTTTAGTAATATATAGAGTTCTAGACGAGTTGAGTTAATTTATGAGTCAGATAAGCTGAATTGAGTTTAAATCAAGTTGAGTTTATATTTTTTTGACTTGATGATTTGCGAGCCAAATCAAATTTAAGTCGAGTTAAATATTTAACTCAACTCGATTTAAACTTGACTCAAATTCAACTTGACTCGAGTTGACTTGAAATAGTATTATTAATAAATTAATATTTTAAAACTATAAAAATTATATATTATAATAATTGA